GTTTGCATCGGCTGAACCTCAAACCTTGGTGGGCTGAAGGACCCCCTGGCTTTTCTGCACGGCTTTGGAATCAACAAACCAATAAAAGAGCAAAGAAAGAGAAGAATCCCTGCATCCTGATGCTGATGTGTTGCACCAAAGAGCTGATTGCATTTTTCACTATTGATAAGACCAAAGAACCTTCTTCCAAGGCTGATTTTTCCTATTTAACAAGACAGATATCTTACCGATGCATTTCTCCTGGCTACGCTTCCTTTAAGGCCAGATATGTGAAACGCGTGAAAACAGCTCTCCTCTGCATCTCTGCAGCTTTAAAGGCTGGTTATCCTCCTGCAGCAGTGTGTCGCAGTTAGTCTGTCGCAGGTATGATGCAGATATTTTTTATAGGGATGCACGATATAATCGGCCCCCTATCGGTATCGGCCTTAAAACTGAATATCGGACATCGGCCCCCCCACCGATATTTAACCCGATATTTGATCAGCTTCTGAGTTTCTAAAGTCTAAAAAAAAAAAATACTACTTCTTCTTCCTCAAAAACTTCTTTTTTACAGACTTAAAAACTTCTAAAGACGAGGGAAAAAATATTGATCCATTAAAATATCCCAATATCTTCATATGCTGATATATTGCCATTTAAAAACACCATATCAATCTCTTTTACTAATGAAATATTGCTATATGTCATCGTTATGCTACGAAATCCCCCGAAAATTCACCAAATGTTGCCATATTTTGACAGGGCGACAGTGGCGTTGGATGTAGGAGTTTGCCCTGTAATCAAGGGTTGACGGTTCAAGCCCCGACTCCGACTTTCATTGTCGTTGTGTCCTTGGGCAAGACACTTCACCTGCATTGTCTACTGATGGTGGTCAGAGGGCCCGGTGGCGCCAGTGTACGGCAGCCTCGCTTCTGTCAGTGAGCCCCAGGGCAGCTGTGGCTACAATGTAGCTTGCCACCATCAGTGTGTGAGTGAATGAATGTAGTGTAAAGCCCTTTGGTCAAGTCTCCTAACTTGAATAAAGGCGCTATATAAGTACATGCCATTTACCATTTACCATATTTTTATATGTTGATATATTGACGCGGTATCGATCTATTTTACTAACAACATCTCACAAGAATTTGCAAAATATCACGAGAGTTTTTAAGTAAAGGATAGAGTAAAGTAAAATAGATCGATACCGCGTTTTTAAAAATCTATTTGATATCAGCATATGAAAATATATTTGAGTATATTATTTTTCAAAGTGTCAGAAATGGATAACAAAACTGCTATTTTCAATGACTACTTATTTTTGTCCAGCTTTAACATCGGTATCGATATCGGTTATCGGCTACATGAGTTTTAAAATATCGGCATATCGGATATCGGCCAAAATCCCAATATCGTGCATCCCTAATTTTTTAGATACGACCGACATAACTTCAGTTACATGCAAAGAAGAGAAAAATTTAATAAATGAACAAGTTTATTAAAATTAGAGAATCAAAGCAGTGCTAACAAACTTTTTTTTTTTAATTTCTATATTGTAAACACACCAAAGGGTATAAAAATGCAATAATTCCTGAGTAAAACAATTACAAATTAGTTGCATTTTTCAAGTAACTACAGTCAAAATAAATAAAGATTCTACCTGTATCTTAGTGCAGTTTTTTTTATTTAAAATCTTGACTGGTCTAATAAAATAAAAGAAGAAAGAAAGCACAGAAACTAACTTAAGTTTAAAAAAAAATATTACATTAAACAATAGATTCTAACTGTTTTTCAAACTAACGGACCAACATCAAACCCTCGGATTTTATTCTAGCTGTGAAGGTTTTTTTTTTTTGGTTGTAAATGTGGTCAGTGGCAGAAATACAGCAGCGCTGCAGTTTTGTTAATCCTGATAAAACGATCTCTTAATAATGACAGATCGTCAGAGGTGTAGATCGTAACACGGTCTTAAATCGTCATATCGCCCACCCCTACTCTTGATAAGACCAAAGAACGTTCTTCCACGGCTGATTTGTTTCCTATTTTACAAGACTTCTCCCAGATATCTTACCGATGCATTTCTCCTGGCTACGCTTCTTTTAAGGGCAGATATGTGTAACGCTCATTTTTCATTTGGATGAAATAATAGCTGCATGAATCATGACAGCAGACAAGATAGAGGAGAGCAGGAGGCGGGGTTAACAATCTACTCGCTCTGGAGAGCAGAGTTCGCTGCTTTTAGATGTTGTCTCCAAAGTCTCCAGTAGCAGAAAAAAGTCTCTAGATTTGGCGCTAGGAGCTTTTTAGAAATCAAAGTGCTAGAGGGGTCTGAAAAGTGGCTAAATATAGCGACTAAAGCGCTAAGTTGGCAACACTGCTCTTTGCATGGTTTGTTTTCAAATGGTTTGCTGCTGTCTGTTTGGACCTTTCTGAACATGTGCAGCAAATGGACTGATCCAATATGGTGGACACTGAAGGGGGGAATTTTCATCAAAAACATAATTAATGTGCACAAATAAGGAATAGTTGTATTAACCATTCATCTAAACAGAGTTTTATGGGGCCCCTAGGAACTTGGGGCCCTAAGCAACTGCCTAGTATTGCCTAATGGTAAATTCCCCCCCTGCGTCTATTAATTTGCTGGTGCTGAGCTTTAAACCTGCCATCCATACCTCCAGTCCATAGATGCTGTATCAAAGGTTGAGAGGGCATTACAAAACTTAGCTTCTTCTTTTCAAATTTGTTTTCCTTAGATAGAAAACTTTGAATCAATCTGACTGGATGATCTGGTGAACTGGAAAGTGACCTGAGATGACATGATGTGAATTGGAGCTATAGAAATAAACTGAATAGAATTAAATTGTCCGGCTTCGATCAGCTCAGCCGCAAACTCTGCACTAAATATGCATCCATTATAATCAATGAGAGCATTTACAATGTAAGTTACGTTATTTTTTATGAACATAGCAATATGAGTTTTAAATGAGTAAATGAATGCGATGTTCCACCATCACCTAACTTGCATTTGCTAACTTATTTGAGGGAAACTCCAAAAATTGACGGTTTTTCCAATTCCTCACTAGTGGCTCTAGTGAAATCCCACATATTCTGGCGCCCCACCACCCACAGTGGTGTCTGAAGACAAAGCGTGAAACAGGGGGAGACCAAGGAGGTCTGAAAACTCTGAAAAGAGAGGTTGAAGGTGGGGGTGGGGGGGGGGCAGCCATATCCTGAGTGTTCAGTTGAGGCCTCTGCAGGGGAATATTCGGGACCCCAGAAGGGGGGCCCCAGCAACAGCTGCTGAGGCCACTGGTGCATGCTCACACGTGCACGAATGAAGGCCCTCCCATTGAGGCAGAGAGAGAGAAGGATGATTGGAGCCAAATGGCTCAACTTTTCCTATCTATTAAATAAAAGATTAAATAAAATAATTAAAGGGTTAATTTAATCGCCTTCAGAACAAAAAAAACTCACAACTTTATCTTTCCTCACAGAAGTGAGGAAAGATAAAGAAATAAAAATCCTGAGCTATCTCTATAGTTCTGCTGCTATAGGCTTAGACTGCCGGAGGACATAGGGACCCCTTTTTCATCATCCTGCTTCATTCTATCTCTATTCTCCCACTCTGCAGAATCTGTTAGTTCAATCTCTAACGTTCTGCTCCCTCTGCTTTTTCTCATAGTAGCTTCATCTGGTCTGTTCCTGTTTGGCTGTGACTCCATCCTGGAGAGAAATATCAGCTGTGCTGCTGCCATCAACACCTTTGTTTCTAGATGTTGGAGCTTGGCCTGTTTTCCAGTGTAGTCCTGTTTCTCTGACTGTGACTAACTGGGTGTGCTCTCTTCATCCTCTTACATGGGAGCTGGCTCGGAGCTCGTCTGCCTGGCTGTGTGTTTCCTGGACGGGGCCGCCTCTGGAGCTGGTTGACGGTTGCCTTTTGTATCTATGCTTCTTTTTCTATGTCTGCTTCTGTCTCCTTGAACCCCAGTGGGCCTCAGCAGATGGCCGCTCACACTGAGCCTGGTTCTGCTGGAGGTTTCTTCCTGTTCAAAGGGAGTTTTTCCTCTCCACTGTCGCTACAAGCATGCTTAGTGTGAGGGATTGCTGAAGAGTCAATGAGTCGATGCAATCAGCTGGTTTTCCTTAGATAGAAAACTTTGAATCAATCTGACTGGATGATCTGGTGAACTGGAAAGTGACCTGAGATGACATGATGTGAATTGGAGCTATAGAAATACACTGAATAGAATTGAACTTTAGTCAGTTGGAATGCTCATCAGGATGTTCCAAGAAACCAAAATAAACCTTAATCTTTTAGATAATCTGCAGGATGGGTTAAAAGGAATAGATCATAAGAATAGACCAAGAACTTTGGACAAAAGATCAAAATAAAAAATGCGTAGAAATAGTATGTAGAGCAGAATGAGCAACTGAGAAACCCTGGATTTAGTTAGTCAGTTAGTTGGTGGTTTGGGAGATTATGCTGCTGGAATCAAAGATGAATCGACTTTTATGATTTGAGGTCCTGGTCATCCTGAGCTGCCTGCTCAGAAACACCAACAGGAAATCATCCGCAGCCTTTTTCTCTCTGGATGCATTAAAAGCTTAAAGTTTAGTCCATGTTTTTCTCACTACCCTGGAGAAGCACTGAAGTTCGGGGTGATAAAATATCATTCAGTCAAACCAAGTGAAAAATCCCAGTGCCATGCGAGGGGTGGAGGGACGGGTATCCCACTGTGCCGCAGTTAGACTGATTAATTGTGAAAGTGTGAGAGATTAAAGGAGGCACATCCCAGGATTGCTGCTAATGGATTTAATATTCATGAACCCTTCTAGTTTTGAGGGAAGAGGCAAGAGGGATCCAATTTATCCCACAGTCACTTTTTTCTGGAATCAAGAGCGGATATTAAAGCGGTGAAAAATTCCTCTTGCATTTACTTTCATTTCTGCAACACTCGGTGCATATTTCACCACACGGCGGACGTGTAAACACACACGTTTAGAAATAAATGACTGACGCTCACCTGACGGCTCCTCGGTGATGCTGGACGGAGTCGTCGGTGGAGAAACTGGAATCTCTACTCAGGAAAACAAGAAAAAAAAAAGAAAATGATTAATTATTTTGTTGATTTATGTTTTTACACAGATCACACGTGTTTAGTTTCTTTCTGTTCATGTTCCTAAACTGTTAATGTGCAGAAAACAGTTAAATATGTAGTAAAGCAGGAGGGGCGGGGATGATTTGGAGCTTTTCAACAGAAAAGTTCTTGGTTTTTAAGCAAACATGTAATTATACTGAACATTTATGATGAAGCTTTGAGTATTATTTGCTTTTATTATTATGAAACTGCTTGAGTGATCGTTTTAATATTTTGTTTTTATTATGACTGTATTATAGAATAAAGAGAATAGAAACAATACTGCTGGCTGTTTTCCACTTACAGGAAACCAAAACCTGTTCAAAGAATCTTTTTTAGTATTTAAACTAGTTCGTTGTTAGATTTTTAGTTATCCGAGCAGATCCCTATATTTATTTTTATATCTTAGGTTTTTATTTCAATTTTTTTTTTTATGCTATGGTTCATTATATTTTATTATGCACTGTGGGGTTGAGAGGACTGTAATTTCATCTGTGTTGTATGTTTACCATGTAGCACATTTGACAATCCAAAATTCTTTATCGTATTATTTATCTGTAAAGTTAATCCGTCAGAAATTAGGAGCAATATTTATGGTAATTTGTCGTGTTTTAAGAGAAAAATTAGGAGGTTGTTTTTTTCAAAGTTCATTTCTCACTATGTCATTAATTCATTTATAGAAATCTTACTTTGTAAAATAAATATTTAGTTTAGAGATTAATATTTATTGAACAAACAAAGTATTTAATTTAAAGCTAAATATTTAGTTTGTGAAATAAATATTTAGCTCCAAACTAAATATTTACACTGCAAAAATGATCTCAAAATGAGTAAAAATGTCTTAAATTAAGGCTATTTACCCTTAATTTGAGCAGGTAAATAAGATGATTTGCCAATGGAATTAGTATTTTTAAAATAAGTTATCTAGATAAAAGGCACTTGAAATAAGACAATGCAATTGTTTTTTTCTTATTTTAAGTGTACATTGTCTTGTTCCATTGGCAAAATGTCTCTTTTACCTCCTCAATCCATGAAAAAAAGCACTTATTTTAAGAAAAAAATACTTATTTAGATTTCATTTTTTGCAGTGTAGTTTGTTAAATAAATGTTTAGTTTTTTAAATAAATATTTAACTTTAAATTAAATATTAATGTAGTTTGCAAATAAAATATTTAGTTTGTGAAATGAATATTTAGCTCCAAACTAAAAATTTAGTTTGTTAAATAAATATTTAGTTTTTTTAAATAAATATTTAACTTCAAATTAAATATTCATTTAACAAACTAAATATTTAGCTAGCACGAAGCTGTTATGTTAACCTTTTACTTTGGTAGCTCACTTCCGCTTTTTGGCAAGGGAATTTGCATATTCGCTAAACAAACTAAATATTTAGCTAGCTTGGTGCTAGCTAAATATTTAGTTTATTAAACTAAATATTCAGCTAGCTTGGTGCTAGCTAAATATTTAGTTTATTAAACTAAATATTCAGCTAGCTTGGTGCTACCTTAATATTTAGTTTGTTAAATAAATATTTACTTTTTTACATAAATATTCAACTTCAAATTAAATATTCATTTAACAAACTAAATATTTAGCTAGCACCAAGCCTTTATGTTAACCTTTTACTTTGGTAGTTCACTTCCGCTTTTCGGCAAGTGAATTTGCATATTCGCTAAACAAACTAAATATTTAGCTAGCTTGGTGCTAGCTAAATATTTCGTTTGTTAAATAAATATTTAGTTTTTTAAATAAATATTTAACTTCAAATGAAATATTCATTTAACAAACTAAATATTTAGCTAGCACCAAGCCGTTATGTTAACCTTTTACTTTGGTAGTTCACTTCCGCTTTTCGGCAAGTGAATTTGCATATTCGCTAAACAAACTAAATATTTAGCTAGCTTGGTGCTAGCTAAATATTTAGTTTATTAAACTAATATTTGATTTGGAGCTAAATATTTATTTTATATATATATTTTTTGACTGCTTAACTTTATAAACGGCGCCCCATTCAAATAATACGATAAAGAATGTGAAGAGTTGTACTTAATATATTGTGGCGATATTTATGGACAATATTTCTGCATAGTTAAACATTGCAATGCTAACATGGGCCATGCTTTAATTGTTCCTCATTACTGAAACAATCATGCATCCAGCATTTCAGGACCTCCCCTCCTTCCTGCAACATCCCTGAGCTGCAGCCTGAATCTCAAGGTTGTCTCACTGCGAGAATCTCACATCTAATGCATGAAAAAAAAAAAACATTTTTCATTAAAATCCTTTCAAAACAGTCAGGATCTAAAGTGCATTAAATGAGGTGGGATTTTATGAGCCCCTCTGGTGTGTTAATTCCATTGCTGACATCCGGGTCATGCAAACTACAACACAGCCGTTTCAATGTTATCATCTCAATAAATGGTCATTATTAGTGGTGATCAGTCCCATAGAATGGCTTCAGATTGTTCCAGTAGGCTCAGTGGATTATTATCAGAGTCAATCCTAATCCTAATCCTAAAGTAATTCCTTTTTTACCCACAGAATGATTTAATCTATATTTATGTGTAATCTGACTATAATTTTAGTAGTTCTTCACCTATAGTATAAAAAAAGTTGTTTGGCATGTCGCTCATTCCTACGGAAGCCCAGAACGGGCGTGTCCCTCCGACACTTTTTCACGGCGGTTTTCTCAAGAAATCGAGTTAATTTTCTCATTATCTAAAGATAACGAAGCCGTTTTTTCATCATAACGAGATGATTGGTGTTAAAACTGAGTACATCCTTCAATACCACAACAGGGGGAGGGGATTTCTAAGTATAACCTATGTATAATTCTGTAAATAATCCTGTGTTTAACTTTTAGCTAACGAGACGACGTTGGCTTGATGATTTGCTTCCACTTCTAATTCCTGAGCAATCAGACCTTTGCCTCCAGGTGTTTCTGAACAGCGCCGGTGTTCCGCCTGGAACAGCTATAAGATGCTTTAACCCCCAAAATGAGTCCAGATTAAAGATGTTCATTAAAAAACAGTCAGTTTTTTTTCTACTGTAATCCAATCCAATCATCCATCACCAACCTGACAATGAGTGAAAAGAAAAAGGAAACTAAAAAACGGATTATTTGCGAACACGCGGTACCACGACTGCACAACTACGGGCCCCGCAGGCACGGATGGACTGGGAATCCAGGGCTGTTGGGCAGCCTCATTCATTACTCAGACAGGTTAATCATCTTTTTATCTCAACAAATCAATAACTGTTTTTTTAGCGATAACCAGATAATTATCTGGTTATCTCTAGAAAACAATTAATAGTTTAAGTGTAATAATGATTACATCATTATCATTATCTCGAGAAGGCAAAGGGAAAAAAAAGTTGAGTACGACCGCTCTGGGCTTCCGTACATATCCCAAAAAAATCTCCTATCCTGTTAACTGAGTTCTTTTTAAACACGACATTAAATCCACGTGACGGAAACATCTGGAATTTACTGGAAGCAAAGCTTTAAAACACTGTTTTTTTTTTTTTTTAAGAAGCTAGGCTATAAATAAAGTAAATAAAACGTATAATGTAGCTAAATAAAAAGTGAAATTTAAGGTTTTAAACGGGGCCAAAGCGGCTGTTATATAAGCTGCATGTTATCAGCCATAAGGAAGGTAGAGGAGGTGCAGTCTGGAGCCATTCTATGGGACTGATAACTGCTAATAACGACCATAAAGCCTCAAACTCAACGCTATTTCTGACATTTTGAATTGAAAAATCTTCCTGGATGGGAAGAAAAAGAAAAAAACTTTAATGTAGCTACAGGGCAACGAAATTCACCCTCTGCATTTAACCCCTGGGGAGCAGTGGGCTGCCATTGTGCGGCAGCCAGGAAAAAAAAAAACATTTTTGGAACCTTAATAACGACCATTTAATGGTTGATCACATAATTCAGCTATTAAACAAGGAAATCCTTAAACTTCTACTGAAGCATTGGCTCTGGTGTAGCTGCCTTCCTACGGGTTCTACCTGCACACCTGGCAGCTTTAGAGCGAACCAAGTGGAGAAACCTCATTACTCTTTATATTAAGACTAATTAAACTCAGCTCAAAGATAAGACGGCCAGTCCACATTAAGGAGACCTACTTCTTCTCATTAACTGACAATTCAAACAGAAGTTACACACAATGAAACGGCTCCACTATGGAGGCCGCAGCTCTTTTCCTCAAAGGACCAAGGACACATATGGAAGACGCATGCAGAGGAAGGAGACACACTGAGGGAAAGGGGTGCAACCGTGAGGGTTTGTACAGAAGTAGAAATGACATTCTCACAGTTAAAATGACCAAAATCTCATGATCTAAGATTTGATCAACCCAGGAGACGTGGGTTTAACTTTCTGCATCGATCTGTGGAATGAATGTATTCACAGTCTGATAAAAAAAAATGGCTGCCTTAAAAAAAAAGGTGCAGCAGTCTGCACCAGCAGTCTCTGAGCTATGATGCGTTTTATATAATTCCTTTAGGAAAATATTAACTTTATTCCCAATCAACAGAAATAAAAAACTTGGTGAGAAGATCTGATCATTTTGATCTTTCTTATTTTTTCAGATGAGTGTTTTTGATATAAAGTTAGAATTTCAGGTCATTTCTTGGTCATGAAAGTTATTTATTTGGATTAAATCTGCTGTTGAAGCTCAGAGTCATCACTTGGACGTAATACAACAACCCTGTAGCCTAATGAACCTGTCTGGGAAAAGGCCGACATCATCTCACTGTACATCTGGATTTTTGGAGAGTTTTTGAACATTTGTGTAAATTATAACTGATTAGAGGTTTTTCAGAAATGTTCAAATTATTCTGTCTCCTTGAACCCCAGTGGGCCTCAGCAGATGGCCGCTCACACTGAGCCTGGTTCTGCTGGAGGTTTCTTCCTGTTCAAAGGGAGTTTTTCCTCTCCACTGTCGCTACAAGCATGCTTAGTGTGAGGGATTGCTGAAGAGTCAATGAGTCGATGCAATCAGCTGGTTTTCCTTAGATAGAAAACTTTGAATCAATCTGACTGGATGATCTGGTGAACTGGAAAGTGACCTGAGATGACATGATGTGAATTGGAGCTATAGAAATAAACTGAATAGAATTGAACTCTCGCTTTAAGATTAGAAGCAGTAAATATCTTACCTGAGTCTTCATTAAGCAAAGATCCAGATTAGTGGCTCCTAGAGGATGAATCTAGCAGCTAAACTATCAGAATTTATCCTTTTAAAATAATCAATTTGGAAGCTTTTTGTGTCTAATTCTCACAGTTTCAGCTTGTTACAAGTTAAATTTAGAATATTTTAAGAACTTTTACAAACTAACGGCATTTAATTAATGAAAACAGCAAATAAGTTAACTTAACAGATGTTGAACTTCCTTAATATCCCCAAAAAATTAATAATTTAATCAGTGAATCACTTGAATTTACTGAAGCAGTGAGTCAAATTAGGTTGTAATTAATTTAAAATGTTTGTTTAACTTACTAATTATTTGTGTAAAATAAAAACTTAATTAAGTTTAGACCTTAATTAGTTTATCACTGTGGTTGAGTCAAGTTAACCAAGTCATCAATGGCGGCACTTTCTGCACCAAACATTAAAGTTTACACCGGAAATGCAAATAAATAAAAGTAAATAAAAACCTCATAATAAGACGTTTTTTAATCGAGCAGTCGGTTAATAAATTGACTTTTTTCTTTCAAGTTCTTGAATAAGAAAACCAAATTAATTAGTCAGTTTATGAATAGATTTCTTAAGTTTTTAAAGCTTGTAATAGAGAATAAAAAGCTGATAAAAATAACTGCAGGGGTGTTTGTGGTTCTTATATTAATTATGGTTTAAAAATATGACAAATTCCACCAAAACACCAATAAAGGTGAATAAAGATGGAAGCAAGTAAAGAAATAACATTTAAGCCGTTTCTATAATAAATTTTAGGCCTTCAATATAAAAAATGGCCGTATTAAAATCTATATTTTTCCTTATTTATAACTTGAAGATTTTAGATTTTGTATTTAAGAACTTTATAAGTTTAGACTGAATAAATAAAAGCCTGCAGTGTGAGTCTGAAACTGAACAAAAAGTAGTTTGAAGCAAAAATAATAACTAAATGTTGATATTTAGATGAACCATAAGTGATTTGTTCATATCCTTCCTGTTGAAAAAAGTTTTTTATTTTTGAGATTTAGGTCATTTTAAGATGGTAGATGTTTGTTTCAGTCATTTTTTCTTAAAATAAGTGAATTTGTTCTTGGATTAAGGAGGTAAAATTGACATTTTGCCAATGGAACAAGACAATTTACACTTTAAATAAGAAAAAAAAGTTGCATTGTCTTATTTCAAGTGCATATTATCTAAATATCTTATTATAAGAGTAAAAATACTCATTCCATTGGCAAACTACCTATTTTACCTTCTCAAATTAAGGATAAATACACTTAATTTAAGACATTTTTACTTATTTCTAGATCGTTTTTCCAGTGATACTAGCTTCAGCTAATCTGATTTTACTCTCAGATTAAAATAAGACTGATTTTAACAGAAGATTGAAATCTAAAGAAGTCATTTTTTCTTAAAATAAATGCATTCGTATTTGAATCGAGGAGGAAAGTTAGACACTCTGCCAACGGATCGAGACAATTTACATTTAAAATCAGGAAAAAACAATTGCATTGTCTCATTTAAGGTGCATAATTATCTAATTATCTCATTTGAAGAGTAAAAATACTAATTCCATTGGCAGATCGCCTTATTTACCGACTTAAATTAAGGGATAATATCCCTAATTTAAGAAATGTTCTATTTGTTTCTAGATGTTTTTTGCAGTTTTTAACACTGAAGGTGAGTTTGTGTCCTAACGTGATGCAGGCTGGTTCCACGTACTTATGCAGGGGGCAATGGGTGAGCGGCTCTGCTGGTAGCCTTTAGCGCAGCGGTTGCAAGTGATACCCGTCACGCCATCTTTACAGGGACATTGTCCTGTGGTATGGTTACAGGTTTTGCCAGCAGCGCCCACGGGATGGCAATCACATGCTGTGAGGGAAGAGAGGCAGAAAGAGAGGCACGGTAAGTGGTCTCACACACACAAACACACAGGTGGGGGAGGGGCTAAACAAAGAGAGAGCAGGTGGGTACACAGCATCGGCGTGGCGGCGACAACAGGCCAGTGAGAGACACGGTGGGGGAGTTCACACTCAGCAGGTCCAACATCACCAGGTACCACCAGCTTCCCACGCAAAAAAAACCTAAAAACTTCCACAAGGGAAGAACAGATTTGAGGAAACAGACAAAACTGAGGGTGTAAAATAATTTCTTTTTTATTTGCTCTTTTGTTTAACTTTCTTGAACCCTTTTTTTTTGGTGATGTTCTGTAGAGGAAAAAAAACTGAGAATTAAATATCCTCAGCTTCCCGTGTCCAACAAAAGAAAAGAAGAAAAAAAATTAAATAAAATTTGAACAGGAAGTTGGACCCGGTGAGCCAATCAAAAACAAACCAAAAAAAACGGTACAGCAGGGGGGGCCAACCCTATACAGGGCCTTCGAAGGCCCAACTAGTACCGGTGTACGTATCAGATCTGCTCGGGGCCCCGCCCCTTCTGATGACGTCATTATATGGCAACTCCACTTGGACAAACTGTATTGCTCCCGTTTCTTGCATATTATTCCTATATTTTCATTGGCGATCTAAAGTAGCCGAAAGTAGAAAGCAATCATTCTAAGTCTTGAATAAAGTTTCTGAAATCTAATCTGGGGACATTTCTAGCTTGTAGATAAAAATAAATAAATATCATCAGAATTAAAATAGGAAATGGGGACAGTGATGTTTTCATCCATTTTTACATATTTATTAGTATTTAAACACAAAAATCAAGTGTAAAATCCATTAAGTGCCTCTTCTATTTCAAAAAATAAAATAAATCATTCCAGTTTTTATCAGTGCCATACGGTCATTCATTCTCCTCCGTCTTTTTTTTTTCTCAGCTGTCGTTCAATTTTCTTTCTATCAGTCTTTTTTTTTATATCATTATATAAAAGATTTTTTTCAGTCTTCTAATCTTCTTCTTCTTCTATCAATCTTACACTAATCTAAAACAGACAAAGTCTCGTAACGACAGATCGGTAACTAAAAAGTTAGAGCATAATTCTTATATATTCCCCAGAACTAAGACCATTTATTTTAAATAATTGGATGCAAACTGTTGATACTTCAACAGACCAGGAAACAAATTTCTCATCTCAGTCAAAATATTAATTTTATACTAAGAGGCTTAAAAGTTTTATTAAATCCAGTCACAACTTCTAAACAAACTTCTTATCTCAGGCATGAATGAAGAGATGCTGAGTTTGGAGGAAGACAACAAACCAATTTAGTACGATCATAATTATTTCTATTACAAAGATGCACAACGAAAATAAAAGTTTGGGCAGAAACGTGTGATGGTTTAATCATGTCATTAAATTAAGCATTAATTCTGCATGTTTAGCTCCTCTTATGCATTTAATAATAATAATAATAATAATAATAATAAAGTTGTAGTCGAGCTCTGCTCCTCATCCGTACGTTCACAGCTGCTTCTAACTGCTAACAGCTGTTTCTGCACGCTGCATGCTTAAGCACACTTTCTACCCTAATAACAGTTTACAACATTTCCCACACATTCATGACACGGTAAAATCGGGGACATTTCTTGGGACAGATTTAGCCGGGGACAGGTGGTCCAAAACGGGGACTGTCCCTGGAAATCGGGGACGTCTGGTTACCGCAGCCTTGAAGGAAAGTACTGCGTTCAACATTGAGCTCTGCCATTTAACAAGATGACAAAACTAGTTTCAGTTTATTTTTATTCTCTTTATTACGATCTGAGGGCGGAGGATGGAACAAATAAAAAAAGGACTTTCATAGAGATTTTAGACAAATCAAACAGTTATTCTACTTGTGAATCTTAGTCCTAATCCTAAAGTAATTCCTTTTTAACCCACAGAAGTAATTAATCTATATTTATGTGTAATCAGAATCAGAATCAGAAATACTTTAATAATCCCAGAGGGAAATTACTTTTGTTACACGCTCCAGTTACAGTTTTATATAATATATACACACATCAAACTATACAATATAATAAAGATAAAAAAAATAAGAATAAAAAGAGATAAAATATATACACATATAGCTCTCCTGTATATATATCTGTACGTATATCTATGCATATGTAAAAACTAAATCCATATAAAGTGAAAATCCAAGTAAGGTGATACGGGGGGGGGGCTGAGTCACTTTAGGGGGTGGGGGGGGGGGTGGGGGGGCGCTAAGTTAAAAGTTAATTGGCATGTTGCTCATTCCTATGGAAGTCCAGAGCGGTCGTGTCCCTCCAATACTTTTTCACGGTGGTTTTCTCGATAAAACAAGTTAATTTTCTCGTTATCTAAAGATATCAAAGCCGTTTTCTTGTCATAACGAGATGATCGGTGTGCGTTAAAATTTATTCCATCCTTCAATACCACAACAGCAGGAGAGCATTTCTAAGTAGAAGTCATGGCAGCCTGTGTGTAATTCTGTAAATAATCCTGTGTTTAACTTTTAGCTAACGAGACGACGTTGTTGGTTTGATGATTTGCTTCCACTTCTGATTCCTGAGCAATCAGCCCTTTGCCTCCAGGTGTTTTCTGAACAGCTATAAGATGCATTAACCCCCAAAATGAGTCCAGATTAAAGATCTTCATTGAAAAACAGTCCGATTTGTTTGTACTGTAATCCATGCAATCCAATCATCCTCCACCACCTGACAACGAGTGAAAAAACTTTAAAAGTCCCGCCTCATTCATTACTCATACAGGTTAATTATCTCGTTATCTCAAGGAAACAGTTAATTGTTTAACGAGATAGTTAGGTGGTTATCTGTTAGTTGAGTATGACCGCTCTGGGCTTCCGTACAACAGGCAGTTGGGTGAGGAGGTTTTGTCAAACTTTTCTTTAATTTTGGAAAAATAAATGATAAAGAAAACTGACGTGGGGCTCATGTAGGGTCGCCAACTCCCTGAAAACAAAAATGGTCGTCTCCTGTGCGTCCCAGCTGACCCGATGGCCTTCACCCCTCCTGGGCCTTTTAAGCCCCCCTTTGTGTGTGAAATGATTTTTTTTAACTATTTGACTCAAAACTGCATTGAATTAGATGCATATCTGTGAGTAACATGAACACATGGAAACAAATTATTATCCAACAATTCACTTTAATATAAAATAACAAACTTTGCTGAATAAAATAAGTTTCTTAAACATAAACCTTTCCTGCTTAACTTCAAACTGTAAAAATGAATATAAAACAATAAATAAATAGTTTTCAATCCCCCAAAATAGCAAGCATACTAAAATATAATGTGTTAAAGGTTAATATTGTATTATCTGAGAAAATAAATGCCTTAAAATCTGTTTTATAAGTCGTCAGCCTGATCTGCACCGGAAATGGGATCCTACGCTACTTCCAGTGGCTAACTTTTTCAGCCTTGGATTTAAACATAAATCTGGTCTTCTTGAGTTTTACGTTTTTGTTTCACTTTAAAGGTATACTATGAAACCGGTGTTGATTTTCCAGCGAGGCTCCCCCCAGAGGGCGAAAGTAAAAGTGCACCGTCGTAAATATGCTCAGCTGGCCTGGTTTCTCCTTCAAGCCAGGCGCGGTTGTTTTGAGCTTAGCAGACAGGCAAACGCAACGAATCACCATGTCTACTACGGTAAGTGACTATTTTGTTCCAATTTTCGAGTTTGAAAATTTAGCATGTTTTCATACATTATTTTCTCGCTGGTTCCGCCATGATAACTGCACAAATATGGCCACTGCGCTAGCAACGAGCATGCCTTTCACTGGGGGCGTGTAGCAGTTCTCGCCGTAAAGCAAGACCGACTCTTGCGATGCACGAGACTTCTGAGCCTGTGGGTGCGGGCCGAGGGCTCCTGCAATTGCAAGTACGGTATTTCCCCCACAGACCACCAGGGCGGCCGAGAAAACCTTTGTTCGACCTGAAATGACTAATTTAATCATCCAAAACGTTATGGAACACATTAATTAACTGAAAAATGTTGCATAGTGTGCCTTTAACCTTATTCTATATAGTTTGTAATCTAAAGAAAGAAACAACTAAAATGTAGATAAACATGGTTTAATCATATTTTGCAGGACTGCTCTGATCATGTCTGATGATGACGTCAGAGAAGCAGTTTAACGAAGAAAATGTAAAAAGCATCAAAATTTACTCACAAAAGTCATAAAACATGTTCTTTAAATATGTGTATTAGCATTATTTAGTAAGTCAAGGATAGAAATAAGTAGTTTTAGTACCATAATTTAGGGATGCACGATATAATCGGCCCCCTATCCGTATCGGCCTTAAAACTGAATATCGGACATCGGCCCCCCCACCGATATTTAACCCGATATTTGATCAGCTTCTGAGTTTCTAAAGTCTAAAAAATAAAAATAAAATACTACGTCTTCTTCTTCCTCAAAAACTTCTTTTTTACGGACTTAAAAACTTCTAAAGACGAGGGAAAAAATATTGATACATTAAAATATCCCAATATCTTCATATGCTGATATATTGCCATTTAAAAACACCATATCAATCTCTTTTACTAATGAAATATTGCTATATGTCATCGTTATGCTACGAAATCCCCCGAAAATTCACCAAATGTTGCCATATTTTTATATGTCGATATATTGACGCGGTATCGATCTATTTTACTAACAAAATCTCACAAGAATTTGCAAAATATCACGAGAGTTTGTAACAGAACGATGAAATTTCACCAGATTTTGAAAGTAAAATAGATCGATACCGCGTTTTTAAAAATCTATTTGATATCAGCACATGAAAATATATTTGAGTATATTATTTTTCAAAGTGTCAGAAATGGATAACAAAACTGCTATTTTCAATGACTACTTATTTTTGTCCAGCTTTAACATCGGTATCGATATCGGTTATCGGCTACATGAGTTTTAAAATATCGGCATATCGGATATCGGCCAAAATC